TATTTTAAAAAATAAAAAATGAAAAAAATAATAATTTTACATTAAAAATAGAAAATAATAATATTTTTTAGAAATTTTTTTTACAATAATTAAGTTTTGAAAAAAAAATTCGCAAATAACCATATTTCGATGAAAATTACGCAAATAACCATATTTCAGAAAACCCACAAAAGAGGAATCATCTCAATTGACGCCTACACCTTAATTTAAGAGGGAGGCGCCATCTCATTTGGCGTCCAGGTGTTAAAAGTGTGTTCTAAGTCAAGTGAGATGGCGCCTTAGTGCAAAGGGGGGCCAATTTTTTTCATTTTTTATTTTAAATGTGGGACATTACGTAAATATAGGATCACGAAAATTCGACTTTTTATTTACACAAAAACAATTCCATAAAAAAATTACAAAATAATTAGTGGTCCCCCAGAACCCGGTAACGACCCGCGGTTCCGCATCCGCGTCCTCACCTGTCCCGTGGTGAATTTTGTCGTGTTTTCTGTTGTGGCAGGGTCGATGGCCCAACGAAGTCATTGCGATCCGGATTCATGAAATCGGTCAGATCTCCACATCTATAAGGTCTGTTTTGATACAGTTGGTTACCCATATCCTCAAAGTTTGGTCGTCTTGATGGTGGGTGGGGTTCCATAATTGGCCTATAGCACTGGTCGTCTGAGTAAGGGGGGTAAAAAGGAAATGAATCCTGGGGTGTTTGGTATTGTGAATGTTGAGTGCTTTGGTGATGTGGTGGTTGATGGTAAGTTGGGTCGGTTGAGTCATATTCTTCGGAAAATCCCAGATCAGGGCTAAGGTTAGATGTTAAGGGGCCCATATTGAGATATGGAGAAGACTGAAATTGTGTGTGAGGGCATGCAGGTGTATTGGTATTGTGATTGAAATTGTGGTTGGGTGTGGGACATATGGGGGTATTGGTATTGAGGTGGTGATTGTGGTTGGTTGTGGGGCACGTGGGTGTATTTGTATTATGGTGGTGATTGTGGTTGGGTGGTTGTGGATCTGTTTCGTCGGGGAGGTTGATGTGTGTTGAGTTTGTTGTTAGGGAAATGAGGTTCGTGTCCATTGTGTTTGTGAGTCAACCAAATACCTTGGATGAGACAAGTGCATTTCTGGGTTACTAACCGACCTGTACCAAGCTAAATATTGATCTGTGTGTTGCATATTGCCATGGTTAAGGAAAACTGGGAATTGCAAGACATGTCGAGTGACGCCTCTGCCACATCTTACACCATTCTGGAGAAAAATCTTTCCAATTGGTAAGACCCCATTGAGAGTCGACCCTTTTGAGTTGCCACGGGGACAAACAAGTTGGATCGCAGGGTATCTCTTGATGCATTCCAAATTGCATCTTGACACGGTCGATGTGGTGCATCTCCACAATGTTGAACTGTATGATTGCAGTCTTAGCGCTCCAAATTGCTGTATCCTTAGAGTTTGGTTCATGGTCTAAACCCAAATATGGTATCCAATAGATTGTGATGTAGAGCGACATTGAATCTTGGATTCTTTCCGTAATCCATACCCATCTCATATGTCAAAAAATCCTACCTCTCGACAGCAATGATCCATCATTGAAGGTGAAAACCATAATCTCTCACATCATTACTGTATATGGAAATTGGTAGGAGTCATACAAAGAACTTTCTCTCTACCTGAATGCACTTCAGACTTATTCTCCGGGTACTGTTTATATTATGGAAACACTGTCGGCGTACGCCCCAAATGGCACTTAAGTCACCAGAAATTGAATATTCAGTCGAGTGTTCTGGGCTTTTCAACCTTGTATCACAGGGTTTGCGTCATGCAAACCTATTATTCAAATTGATGGGACTTGGTTGCATGGGAAATACAAAGGCACGCTACTGATGGTAGTTGCACAAGATGGAAACAACAATATTTTCTCAATTGCCTTTGCTCTAGTCGAGGGAGAGACTGGTGGTTCTTAGAGTTTCTTTCTCAAGAATCTCGAAACACACGTGGATCCTCAACCAGATCTCTATTTGATCTCCGATAGACATGCATCTATTGAGAGTGCATACAACAATACTGCAAATGGTTGGCATGACCCTCCTTCTACGCATGTCTATTGCATTAGACATATCATCCAAAATTTCATGAGGGAGATCAAAGACAAAGCTCTTAGGAAATATGTTATGAACGCATGGTATACATTAACACAACCTACGTTCAAACACTATCTCAACGAGATGAGATTGTCAAATTCGGACGCAGGTAGGTGGATCGATAATATTCTGGTGGAGAAATGGACTAGGTCATACGATAATGAACAACGATGGGGCCACATGACAACAAATATGATTGAATCCATGAAAGAGGTATTCAAAGGCATATGAAACCTCCCAGTAACTGCTTTGATTAAATAAACATATTTTAGGATGGCTTCGTTGTTTTTCAAAAGAGGTGAAATATGGAATGATGTCTTGCAATTGGGACAATTATGGAGTGAAAGCTGCATGAAGTATATTAAGGCAGAAAGTGCAAAAGCCAAGACCCATCTGGTTATACGGTTCGACCAGCATAACAACAACTTCATTGTCAAAGAGACAATCGACCACAACGAGAAGCTGCCAAGACAAGAGTATAGGGTTATACTACCTTCTCGTTGGTGCGATTGTGGGAAGTTTCAAGCCTTTCGTATGCCTTGCTCTTATGTCATTTCGGCATGTGCCTATACTCATCAAGACACATTACAACTCCTATCTCCCATTTACAAGTCTGAAACCTTACTCAACTTATACAACAACAACTTCCTATTGGTAGCAAAACCTGATTATTGGCCTGTATACGACGGTGAAATAATATGGCACAACGACCAAATGCGAAGGAATAAAAAGGGTCATCCCAAAAGCAAGCGCATCACAACTGAAATGGACTCAGTTGATAAGCTAGAAAAAAGTGTGGTTTATGTCGTCAGGTCGGGCACAATCGCAAAAATTGTCTGACTCAGGCTACTAGCTCAACCACATAAAAATTGTATACAAAACATCTTTACTTTTTTAAGTTCTTAACATTACGGTTTTTCATTAAGAGCATTTGTTACAACAAACCTTGCGCAAACAACAAATAAAAACACTATAAAACGTCTAAGAAATTACAACCGTTAAAACAATTTCATCTGACCCATGCATCATCAACATTACGTCTCCGTCTGTTTTGACTTCATCCAACCAAAAATTAGGTCTTCTTGTTGCAAGTGAGGTGACGGTTCTTCTTCGCCGGGTCCTTCTAATTTATTCTCCATCCTCGATGTCTCCCTCTAACCATCACATCAACTCCCTCTTCCGACGCTTTATGGAGTGAATGTGCCAAAATTTCATTTTCATCGGAGGTTTGGTGGCCGAGAACATAACGTAACCATCTCTGGTAAAAATCATGGGAGATGTCATGACGCAAATAATAGAGAAAAAATAAGAAGACAATGCGAGAAAGTGTGAAGAATGACGGAGAAACGGAGGACTTATTTATAAAAAAAATGCATTTTGCCCTAGACACCAAGTGAGATGGCGTCTCCTCTCACTTTTAGAGTGCATGCGCCATCTCACTTGGCTAAACGAGAGAGCGTGCACAAGTGAGATGGCGCTTAGGAAAAATGGACTAGTGCAGGCGTCAACTGGGTTGACTTCTCCTTTGTAGAATTTTCTGAAACATGATTATTTGTGTAATTTTCTCTGAAACATGATTATTTGCGATTTGTTTTTTCAAAAGTTGATTATTGCAATTTTTTATACTATTTTTTATAAATATATAAATGAATAAACTACATTTTTATTTTGTTGTAATCTAAAATAAGTCTCTAATGTTTGGAGCAATTCAAGGATCAACACAAGAATCATTTTTAATTTTGAATATTTGTTTTTATGTAATATTTTTTTAAGAGACATATTATATATTTATCCAAAATTTGAAGTTAATAAATATGTGAATTCTCTTATTTATAATGTTCAAATCTCTACCATGATCCTTTTAAGTATATGTTGTTTTATACAAATAAGTGGTTTCCTTCAATCAAACAAAAAACTTAGGTTTATGATGCTATTTGTCGGTTCCTTCATTCCAAATTGGAACAATTCAATAGATCAACACGAAGAATATTTTTATTGGAATTTTTTATTAGAATTTTTTCTTTTAAGCAATATATCTTTGTAAAAAATATATTATATATTTATCAAAAAATTTAAAATAATAAATGTGTGAATTCTCTCATTTATAAATGTTCAAATTTCTATGTTTTTATTTACTATAAAATTTTCTCGCACTATTCACCACTTATAATTATTTTTCAACATTTAAATCAAACACAAAATTAAATTATTTTTTTTATAAATTATAATAAAATATTACATTTATTTTTTATTAATTATTATTATTATTATTATTGTTTTTAAAAAATTGACAAGATTCACCTTTACATTTATATATTTCAACAATATATATTGATAGAATATATAAAAACATTATCAATTCAATATCTCTAATTTTAAAAAGTATAAAATAACCAAATACATACAAAAGTGACAAATAAATACAATACTGCCTTTTACTGGTGTACGAAGAAAAAAAAGAGAAGTAAAAGAAAATGTGAAAATTCTATCTTTAAAATCTAGGATTAGCTATTGTTAGTAAAGTAGATCTTATTATAGCATAATATATATATAGTAAAATGTTTAGAAATAAATTCTTTTTTTTTTGAACTTCTTAAACATTTAATTGAGTCTTTAGTTTTCACAGCACACAAATAGAATAAATGTCGTGCCGTTTACGACACTAAATCTATGTCACTGTATATCTATATATATCGCATAAATTGTCAAGACTTTAATTCTTCTTTCTTTACATTCGATGAATGTGTCCATTATCTAAACAACACTAGCTACCATTAAAAGCCGCCCCACAATTTCCACTCCATCTTTTCTTCAACATTTTTTCCCACCTTCCCATACTCCTTTTTTCTTTCAAGCACATATTGAAAAATGGACAACAATTATTCTATGTTGTTTCCCTGTCCTCCTTCTTCAAGCTACACAATTCCAACCAGTGGTTTGATGAACAATGGTCAAAGCTCAAATGCATTTCTAGGTTTGAAGCCTAGTAATAATAATATTGATCATCATCTTGATGATGATCATCATGTGAAAGGAGATGAATCAAGTGTTAGAAAGAAAGGAGAGAAAAAAGCTAAGAAGCCTAAATATGCTTTTCAAACTAGGAGTCAAGTTGATATACTTGATGATGGTTATAGATGGAGGAAATATGGACAAAAAGCTGTTAAAAACAACAAATTTCCCAGGTTTCTTTTTCTTCTTTCTTCATCTATATATGTTTTCTTTTTTGTTTCCTATTCATCTTGAATTTATTATTATTATTATTATTATTATTATTATTATTATTATTATTATTATTATTATTATTATTATTATTATTATTATTATTATTATTATTATTATTATTATTATTATTATTATTATTATTATTATTATTAATAATGTTTTGCATATGCACGGCTTCTAAGTTTGACTTGGTATATTATTAATTATTATACGTGTAAAATTGTACAAAGAAGACCAAAATGACTATAGATTTTTCTGTACTAATTTATTTTAAATATAAAAATTTGATTGTTGAAGAAATTTAAGATATTATTATTATATATGAAACATTTTAATTTAAAAGAATAATTAATAGGTTCATATGTTTGAGTTCATAATCTTGATCAATTTTCTCTTTTAATAAGTTGGGATTTTTTCTTCATCTGTATACAGTATTAGTCATTATCAGTCCAAGTGGATTAACAGAAAAAAACCGTAGCTAAAGTGCTATAAACCGTAGCTATAGACCAAAAACCCTATTTCCGATAAACAATATTACAAGTATATACATACAATCATACAATATTTTCATATTCTCTGTAGTAGCAAATTCAAAATTTGCAGCCCTAAAGTCAACAAATCAATAATTTTCAATGAAAGCAAAAAAAAAAAAAAACTAATCCATGTTATGTGCATCACATTCTTAGTTACTTTTTACTTTGTATTTATATTCAGTGAAAAATAATCCATGTTTAATAAGAAAAATTTTCATCATTAATCATTAATCTTTTCATTACGTGCATGGACTAATAGAGAAATGCATTGGTTCCATTTGTTTTATGAAATAATTTGCAGGAGCTACTATAGATGCACACATCAAGGGTGCAATGTGAAGAAACAAGTGCAACGTTTAACCAGAGATGAGGGAGTAGTGGTGACAACATATGAGGGAGTTCATACTCACCCTATTGAGAAAACAACTGATAACTTTGAGCATATCTTGAGTCAGATGCAAATATACACTCCCTTTTGAAACTAGTATACCTGCATGAACTTCTTCTATGCTTTGTTCATTAGATGATCAATTTGAGGCTCTTAGTTATAGTTCCTCCTTTGATGCAAAAATAAAACTGTGTCAATATATATATTAACTTATTATTAGACAATATTTTTAATTTGTTCTTTTATTGTAATATTATGTTTATGTAATGGAAATTCAGCTATCAAGTTCGCATGCTGATGATATATACATCTTTTATTCTTTCTTTTGGTTATTCTAAGTTAGCATGTATAAGCTAATACTTTATATAAATTTGTTATTTGTTATACTAGCAAAATAAATAGGGCCGGGAACATTAAAATAGTTCAATATTGCTTGAGAATCGAAATTAAATATAGTTTACATGCAACACTTTGAGGTTTAGGTTTCCACACTTAAAACGGTCAATACCTCGTAGTTGTTGTGATTAGCGGATTTCAGGTCTTTCAGAATAATAATTTATTTAAACTATATTGTATTATGTAGTTTCTATTTCTCTTCATGTAGTTGATATCAAATTAGAATATTAATAACATGTTAGCGTAATTGAGGACGGAGATACGTGGAGACACCTCTCATAGTTAAATGATTTTTTGGATATATGGAACAACAGAGACATGTCGGTTCTATTGGGTACAAATGTGAATGGTTTAATCCTACATCAGCTATGAATGAGTGAAATATTAGATTTATAGGTGAGATGATTCATATTTGTGTTGCCTTAAGGTTTTGGTGTAGATGTGACGTCTCTCTCTTATTGTCCTGAAGCACTAGACTCATTGGTGCTCCCGACTTTTCTGTTCTCCCTAAAAACTGGTATTAGAGCCATTGTTCGGTGTAATGGGGGAGCAGGAGCTAGATCTAATGTTGGATCATATTATATGATGCGGGGGAGATTGTTGGGTGCAAATATGAGTGGTTAAGTCTCATATCAGATATGAATGAGTGGAATGTTGGATTTATAAGAGATATGACTCAGATACATAATGCCTTAAAGTTTTGGGAGGAGGTATGACATATCCTTCTTTTGTGGTCCTGGAATACTGTGCACTTATTGTTGCTCCTGACTTTCACATACTCCCTAATTGGTTCATCAATCATCCTTATTTATTGATGTTATAATTTGCTAGGATAACTTTGAGGATAACTTTTGTGCCACATCATTCCTTTTAGGCGATGTATCCATGTTGGGTTTCCACTTATTAAGACAAACAACTTGGTTTTTGTTGTATATATGACACAAATCTTGGTGGTACTTAACCAATCATTATTTAGATTGGACCGTTTTACTATTATAAAAACACATTTAACCCTGGTTTGATACGAGGTGTTACTTGTTTCAAATGTGAGGTAATAAAGTGCATCATAAAAAATGAACCATTTTACCTCTAAGTTTTTGTTCCACAGATGGGTAATGTGTACAGGTCATGAGATTGATCCCCATGGAATCCTTTTTAGAAATTTTAATTGGAGAAATCATTTGTTTTCTCGGTTGACATTTAACCGATGGATAAAACACAATTTAGTTTATTATATCTAATGTGGGTTGGTTATTTCACTAAGTCCTAACTCAATATATAACTTGTCAAATTGATTAGGAAAATAATTATATAAATAATTATGTTATATTTGAAAAAAGCTTACACTAATCAATGATTTTCGAGCATCATGTTACTCATTATTCATCTCACGCTCTTTAATGGTTAGAATCTCTTCAAAGTTTGAAGTTCTATATTCAACACTTCCTTTTCTACTAATTCATTCTTGAAAACATAAATTTTGACGCTTTACAAAATGAACAAGTATGAAAGAAAGTTGAACGAAAACTAAAAGTATTGGAGAAATTTTAACAATTAAAAAATATGAGATGAATGATGAGTTGCATAATGCTAGAAAAATATTAATTAGTGTAATATATGTTTCAAATACAACATAATTTTTCATATTATTATTTCCAACATCAATTTAATAGGTTATATGTTCAAAGAGGTGTTAGTGAAATAAATAATCGACATTAGATATAATAAACTCAACTATATTTTCTGTCACTACAATGTTCTCTTGACATGTTCCACAGAACAAGATGAAATATACACTAAGAATCACAACATCATAATCACAATATCAATGTCAAACTCAAACTCAATAAAAGCAACTTAACGACAACATATAGTTTTTTATAACTTTGGGAAGTAGAACAACTAAACAACAACAACAATAACATCAACAAATTAAAAACAACAACTTATATTAAACAACAACTTAAAAATAATAATCTCTAAACAAAACTACAACAACATCAACAATAAACCTACAACGTCAATCTCAATTTAAAAAACAACAAGAGTAAACCTCTAGGATTTTCAATCTCAACAATAACAATGACAACAACAACAAACAATGACAACAATAAAAAAACAACAATAACAACGACAATAATAATGTAACACGAGTTGTGATGTTTGACATACTAAATCTGTGAAGAAGTGAATAAAATAATTTGAGTCTTTCATTCAGGTAAGTATCGAATGAGAGCTATAAATCCATATCATCTATGAATTGGGGATGATAGGTGTTTAAGGCTCTACTTATTTAAAACTTTTAGTTAGGGTTTTGTGTGTGTTATTTTTAGTGTGTTGTATTTAGGCAAGTGAAATTAAAAACTACAATCTAATATATATATATATATATATATATATATATATATATATATATATATATATATATATATATATATATATATATATATATATATATATATATATATATATATATACACACACACACACACCAAAGAAACAAATGAAATTAAAAATAAAGTGAAGCTGCTGAGATTCGAAGCATGTATACTAAATTAATTTACACCTCGATTTTCTATAAAAATTGACATAATAGATTGTATATATTTAAGAGAAAATAAAACATGTTGCGTCAAATTTTTTTACTTTTTTTTATTATGTGAAGTGAAATCGTTATCATAAAATAATATTATTTATAGTTGTGTTTATATCCATAGAATTGCACAAGTTTTGTGTTAGTGACTTTGATAGATAATGAGTCTAAATATTCTTGAAGTGTAACAAATAGAAACATAAAACTTTGAAGCACGAGAATGAGGTGGAGTTCTAAGATTTTTTCTCAAGTTGTGTTATTATCAATCTAGTATCCCTTTCACTTCAACTTATGTGTCTTATTTTCTCTTAGTGTGTTTGCTTTTTTGATTATCCTATTCCTCAATTTCTTATTTTCTGTATTACTTTTAATTTTATCTACTTTCTATATCTTTAAATTTAGAAATTTGAATTAATAAGTGTGTGATGTTTTTCTTGCTTAAATTCTTGTGTGCTAATGTGTTTTCTTATTAAATTATAGTAATATATCATTTAACCGTATTTTTGCTTTTGAAAAAAGAGGAGAAGTATACTCTCAAGGAAAAGTAGAGTATACTTTCTACTTAATTGAGGGGAAGTTTAACCACTCAAAATATATATCTTTTTACTTATTTTACCACCTCCCTAAGAGATGTTTGCCATCATAAAAAAGGGGGAGAATGTGGAACCATGCTTTGCAAGTTAAGTAATCAAGAATCTTATAATAAACATGTTCTTAGTGACACAAATGATTTTAATGATGACAACAAATGACTATTTGATTCAAGAGGTTGAAGATGCAAGCAGACAAGATATGGTTTCATTATCACTGTAAAAGGTCTTCTGATGATGGCACTCAACAAGAATAAAATTCAAGCCTCGTATTCAAGAAGATTCAAGCAAGTGTGTATATGATTGGATTACCTGGAAAAACCTTAAAGCTTCAAAGTCTTAAAGAGAGGAAGTGCGAAAATTCACACTATCACATCTGAGGTGATAATATGTTGTAAAAGCACTAGGATTATTTTGTATAGTTATATGGCTAAATCACACACACACACACACACACACACATACACACACACACACACACACGTGCACACACACACACACACACACACACACACACACACACACACACTAAAATATGTTTTGAAGCCTAGTTTTCTTTAAAAAATTGTTCCTAAAAATATTTTGAAGTCGTTCCAATTGAATCAAGAATTGTCTAAATGTTTTTGGACAAATTTACAATGTATAATTTGTCATACCCCAATTTTTGACCTAAGATCCCATTTTTATTGTTTGCATTTTTATACAAAAGTCAAGGTTATAAAGTACGGTCGATTTTAACTTCTCACCTCCGAGCATTGACTATGCAGAAATTGTCAAGTATTTTGAACATTCTTAGCCTATGTATCACTAACTTCTAATCAAGCACGAAGTGTGCGTTTTTCGTTTCTTTGATTTCATTTGCAGGAAACAGATCTGAATCAAGAGCATTAGGCGTCATGCCTTGATTAGGGTTCAAAATCTCTCAAGCCAGAAGTACAGTTGATCGTTGATGGTCAAAAGCAAGAAAAGTCAAACTTTGACTTTCAGATCAAATCAAGTTTCAACAATTTTATTTCATCAAGACATGAGATTGGTTCATCAAAAAATCAGGAGTCAGAAGTTACTTTTGAAAAATCAAAATTTCTAAACATTTAGAAAATTTTCTAAGTGTTAAGAGTATGTGATACTTCAGAACTTCTGAGCCAGCTTCCATGCAAGTGCAGTCAGAAGTTGCAAATTTGGTTCAGAACATGGCTCTTCAGCCTCCATGCAAGTGCAGTCAGAAGTTGCAAACATGGTTCAGAATACAATCTTCCATCAGAACGTGACTCTTCATCACATAGAGGTTACGCTTCTGATCTTCTGTGATCAGAACATCACCAAATCCCAAAACCTCGTTTAAGTAACCTGCTGCCCTGCTACATTACAGTGCTGCAGTCAGCTGCTGACCCAGTCCACGCTTGCACTTTCTCAAACCCCATATTTGCATCAAATTGGCATACGAAAACTGTGATTAAAAAGAAATGGAACAGTATACCAAAAAGGATTGAATCCCATTTGTTTTTCCCCCCA